ACCCCTACGCCAGAAGATGCTATATGTTAGCATTGGCCAATTCTTATTCCAGGTCCACCCCCACAGGTCCGGGGTGGTATTGCAGCATGTCAGCGCACGTCATTTTGGCCACTTTTGAGCCGGGACCCGCCCACACTGGTTCAGAATGAAATTCTGAATTCTTTATTAGCATTTTTCAAACAAAAACATAGCATTCCTCCAATGGATTTCCACTTGATCCGTTTGGTTGGGACCATCGTCTCTGCTCTGGTCTGGACCAGAGTAAAACCATGAACACTGAACATTTACAGATAGAAAAAAGTAAGAAAACTAACAATTGTAAAAACATAAAACTGTTTCAAAGCGGCTTCGAACTCTCCGTTTTCGGTGCGTTCAAAAGTAAAAACATGGAGGTGAGCGTCGGTGTGAGCTCAGAGCCCTCGGTTCCAGAGTGAAGGCAGAGAGCGAGGCTAACGGGCTGTGACAGGCCGGACGGACGGTCAGCAGCCCCGCGCCTTTAATTAGGTTACCCCAGAAGGTTAACGACTAATGTGGTTACCGTCGCCATGGAAACCCACATCCATCAATGGGGCAGACCAGCAGAATACACACGACAACAGAGACATCTCCAAACCGGTCTCAACACTTTCTGCTCTTAAATATCTCTGATGATCTCGTCTCAGTAGAATCTATGTTTGTTTACGGCACGGATCTGACATTATCTGGAGAGGCTTCTCTGGTCCTGAACGAGTCACTACTGCGCATGGTTGGGGCAGACATCTTGGAGAGACCAGGGGCAGACATCTTGGAGAGACCAGGGGCAGACATCAAGTTTACATAAGTCTTGCTCAGAAGCTGCTGGGGGTGCTGTGTGCTCGCTCTGTGACGGCTGAGCAGAGAGGTCAGAGGTCACCAGCTCCAACAGACTGGAATGAGCCTCGAGGTGACTCTGACCGCTGCACAGCTGACGCCACACAAGGTCAGTCTGAGCAGGACTTCAAATCTGCAATGACTAACAAGGCCTGATTATTAGGCCTGATTATGGGAGACAGTGGGGCAGCTGTGGCTGTTGTGTCTTTATGCAAGACGCTTCACCCACATTGCAGAGTACGTGGTGCGCGCGTGAATGGTAGATTAATGGCACAGATTTAGGGCTTCTTAGTAGTTTACCATCACAGTGCATGGAGTGACTGAACAATTCCATGTTTTTCAGTGAAAGGAGTTATTCCAGCACTATGTTTTTTTATGTTGACATAAAAAACAAACTTTATAACTAAGAGTTTCCAAAATCATCATAGTTTACAGGCTGGTTAACAGACTTTGCATTTCTAACACTAGGGGGTGATGGATCGCTTTGTCTCATCAGCACAAGTACCATAAACAGTATATTAGTATAGTATATATAACAGGCTTTGACAAATCTGTAAATAATATAAAAGTGTAAAAGAAGCTAGTGCTGCTTAACTATCTCTGACTAAGGTGAGAGTTTACCACCGAAACATGTCGGCAATACTATAGTACCAGCTTTACACTTTTGTCTGACTGAAAGAACCTTCTCGGTCAGAGGCTTCATCACCAACACACCAGCTGAGCTCACGTTACCGCGGCCTCAGCAGCACTTCCCGTCAGCGCTCTTTCAGTTAAATGGGCAGAAGCTCGTCCCTGGATCGATGGAGTGTTTTGGTCTCCTGTAATAGCATAATAGAGCAGCTTATGTCGTGCTTTAGTGATGAGAGAGTGATCGCCGGAGCCTGGGATTCTGCAGAGCCAGGACTCGGTCTCTGCTAATGTCGTATTAAGCCCGAGACAGAGTCCAGACGGGACGAAGATCACAGGCACAGGCTGAGAGGTGTTTACACAGAGAGAGTGGAGAGCCCAGAGCAGGACCAGAGCAAGACCAGAGCAAGACCAGAGCAGGACCAGAGCAGGACCAGAGCAGGACCAGAGCAGGACCAGAGCAGGACCAGAGCAGGACCAGGCCCAGAGCAGGACCAGAGCAGGCCCAGAGCAGGACCAGAGCAGGACCAGAGCAGGACCAGAGCAGGACCAGAGCAGGACCAGAGCAAGACCAGAGCAGGACCAGAGCAGGACCAGAGCAAGACCAGGCCCAGAGCAGGACCAGAGCCAGAGCAGGACCAGAGCAGGCCCAGAGCAGGCCCAGAGCAGGACCAGAGCAGGACCAGAGCAGGACCAGAGCAGGACCAGAGCAGGACCAGAGCAGGACCAGAGCAGGACCAAAGCGGGACCAGATCGGGACCAGAGCAGGACCAGAGCAGGACCAGAACAGGACCAGAGCAAGACCAGAGCAAGACCAGAGCAAGACCAGAGCAGGACCAGAGCAGGCCCAGAGCAGGACCAGAGCAGGACCAGAGCAGGACCAGAGCAGGACCAGAGCAGGACCAGAGCAGGACCAGAGCAGGACCAGAGCAGGACCAGAGCAGGACCAGAGCAGGACCAGAGCAGGACCAGAGCAGGACCAGAGCAGGACCAGAGCAGGACCAAAGCGGGACCAGATCGGGACCAGAGCAGGACCAGAGCAGGACCAGAGCAGGACCAGAGCAAGACCAGAGCAAGACCAGAGCAAGACCAGAGCAAGACCAGAGCAAGACCAGAGCAGGACCAGAGCAAGACCAGAGCAGGACCAGAGCAGGACCAAAGCGGGACCAGATCGGGACCAGAGCAGGACCAGAGCAGGACCAGAGCAGGACCAGAGCAAGACCAGAGCAAGACCAGAGCAAGACCAGAGCAAGACCAGAGCAAGACCAGAGCAGGACCAGAGCAAGACCAGAGCAAGACCAGAGCGGGACCAAAGCAGGACCAGAGCGGGACCAGAGCAGGCCCAGAGCAGGACCAGAGCAGGACCAGAGCAAGACCAGAGCAGGACCAGAGCAGGACCAGAGCAAGACCAGAGCAGGCCCGGAGCAAGACCAGAGCAGGACCAGAGCAGGACCAGCATTATGACTGGAATCTCAAAGTCTGCTGATAAAATACGCAACACGATATTAATCTGGATTCACATGACACACTATGATACAAATCCAGACAGAGGGCGCATTCAATACATTAACAAACTGGTATTAGGTTCAGTAATAAATAATAAATAATGGGAGGACTAGGAGAGGACGACGAGGAGAGGATCAGGAGGACAAGGAGAGGACAAGGAGAAAGGACCAGGGGAGGACTAAGAGAAGAGGACTAGGAAAGAGCCAGAAGGACTAGGAGAGGACCACGAGAAGAGGAGGACTAGGAGAGGATCAGGAGGACTAGGAGAGGACCAGGAGAGAAGAACAGGTAAGGATCAGGGGAGGACCAGGTGAGGACCAGGAGAGGAGGACTAGGAGAGGTTCAGGAGGACTCGGAGAGGACCATGAGAGAGGACCAGGAGAGACTCGGGAGGCCCTCTGAAGCTACAGTAGCTACAGTAGCGGCTCAGGAATGTGTCCACAATCAGAGCGCATGACATCACACAGACCAGAGGGAGGAGCCAGAGGCCGTTTCAGACCCAGGAGTTTAAAGGAGACATGTAGTGGTTCTACTGCTCCACTGGGCCCAGACTAAAACACATGTAGAGCTCCGGTCTTTCCATACAGTCTGTAACTGAACCATCACCTCCAGAGCAGAGGACTGTGCGGAGACGCTTTGGAAGAACACAGCCATTTCTTACAGAACACTACATTACAAATAAACAGATTTATTTGACTGTTTTTTGCTTTTTCTTAAATACATACACACGCTCCATAGATCCAAAACACTCCCCTGATTGAGAGGGCTTCCTGGTCCTGTGTAACCAAGACCAGGTCCCTCCTCAGTCCCTCCTGGTTCTATCCAGGCCGAGCTGGTACTAAACTGTTCTAACTCAGTGATTGGGTGAGTGCTGCTGGAAGCCATGGTTACCAAGGAATTTCCCAAGAATTGTATTTGTTGTGGGGAGGTTGTTTAAAGGAAACACAACCCGAAAGAGCGAGAGTGTGAGAGTGTGAGAGAGTGAGAGAGTGAGAGAGTGAGAGAGTGAGAGAGTGAGAGAGAGAGTGGGAGAGAGAGTGAGAGAGTGGGAGAGTGAGTGAGAGAGTGGGTGAGAGAGAGAGAGTGAGTGAGAGAGTGTGAGAGTGAGTGAGAGAGTGTGAGAGTGAGTGAGAGAGTGTGAGGGTGAGAGAGTGAGTGAGAGAGTGAGAGAGTGGGAGAGTGAGTGAGAGAGTGAGTGAGAGAGTGAGAGAGTGTGAGAGTCGAGTAGGGCCGATTAGAGAAGAGTAGGGCAGAGCAGAGTAGAGCCAAGTAGGGCTGGTGGAAACAGGGCTAGTGTTAGTTATTTTGTTTTCTGTCGGAGGTCAGACAGATTCAGGCCTAAACCAGTGGGGGCGGGTCCCGGCTCAAAAGTGTCCAAAATGACGTGCGCTGACATGCTGCAGTACCACCCCGGGCCGATGGGGGCCGACCCGGAATAAGAAGAATTATCTAATGCTAATGTAGAGCAGCTTCTAACCTCTGGAAAATGTCTTTGCAGGATGGTCTAAAAGTTGTCTCTTGGTCCAAAGCACAGTTCCACATGTGTGTCAATGCTGAGTGTTCTGGACCAGTCTAGTTTAGTTGCTGTGGACTTGAACGTGAATATTTACAGTCTGTGGTCTGAACGTGAGCATAAAGCCTGGAACACAGGACTATACAGGATTACTCAAACATGCAAGAACATTTGGACATTAAAAGGATGTGTTTACGAACCCATGACTGAGCAATTATGTGAAGAAGGAGACGAGAACTTGACCCACTTCTGGTTTTCATTACATTTAAGAGAAACTCGGCTTTTAAGACATTCAAAAGTAAAGTTAAGCTGGATTTAGCCGCGGATTTCACAGGCCACTGATAATCTCTGAGTCTTCCTCTTTCCGCGGCAGAAAGTATCAATAAGTCATGTGCATTTACTCAGGCACGAGATCTACACTGGGACGAGATCTGAGCTTCCATGTTCCAGACAGAGACGAGATCGGTGCTTCCATGTTCCAGACAGAGACGAGATCTGAGCTTCCATGTTCCAGAGAGAGACGAGATCGGTGCTTCCATGTTCCAGACAGAGACGAGATCGGTGCTTCCATGTTCCAGACAGAGACGAGATCGGTGCTTCCATGTTCCAGACAGTGACGAGATCGGTGCTTCCATGTTCCAGACAGAGACGAGATCTGTGCTTCCATGTTCCAGAGAGACGAGATCTGTGCTTCCATGTTCCAGACAGAGACGAGATCTGTGCTTCCATGTTCCAGACAGAGACGAGATCTGAGCTTCCATGTTCCAGAGAGAGACGAGATCGGTGCTTCCATGTTCCAGACAGAGACGAGATCTGTGCTTCCATGTTCCAGACAGAGACGAGATCGGTGCTTCCATGTTCCAGACAGAGACGAGATCGGTGCTTCCATGTTCCAGACAGAGACGAGATCGGTGCTTCCATGTTCCAGACAGAGACGAGATCGGTGCTTCCATGTTCCAGACAGAGACGAGATCTGAGCTTCCATGTTCCAGACAGGGACGAGATCGGTGCTTCCATGTTCCAGACAGAGACGAGATCAGTGCTTCCATGTTCCAGACAGAGACGAGATCGGTGCTTCCATGTTCCAGACAGAGACGAGATCGGTGCTTCCATGTTCCAGACAGAGACGAGATCTGAGCTTCCCTGTTCCAGAGAGAGACGAGATCGGTGCTTCCATGTTCCAGACAGAGACGAGATCTGTGCTTCCATGTTCCAGACAGAGACGAGATCGGTGCTTCCATGTTCCAGACAGAGACGAGATCTGTGCTTCCATGTTCCAGACAGAGACGAGATCGGTGCTTCCATGTTCCAGACAGAGACGAGATCGGTGCTTCCATGTTCCAGACAGAGACGAGATCGGTGCTTCCATGTTCCAGACAGAGACGAGATCGGTGCTTCCATGTTCCAGACAGAGACGAGATCTGAGCTTCCATGTTCCAGACAGGGACGAGATCGGTGCTTCCATGTTCCAGACAGAGACGAGATCAGTGCTTCCATGTTCCAGACAGAGACGAGATCGGTGCTTCCATGTTCCAGACAGAGACGAGATCGGTGCTTCCATGTTCCAGACAGAGACGAGATCTGAGCTTCCCTGTTCCAGAGAGAGACGAGATCGGTGCTTCCATGTTCCAGACAGAGACGAGATCTGTGCTTCCATGTTCCAGACAGAGACGAGATCGGTGCTTCCATGTTCCAGACAGAGACGAGATCGGTGCTTCCATGTTCCAGACAGAGACGAGATCGGTGCTTCCATGTTCCAGACAGAGACGAGATCTGTGCTTCCATGTTCCAGAGAGACGAGATCTGTGCTTCCATGTTCCAGACAGAGACGAGATCGGTGCTTCCATGTTCCAGAGACGAGATCTGTGCTTCAACGTTCCAGAGAGAGACAGTAATAGAGTAACTGTGGAATTATCACCTTATAAATACTGTAAACAATGAAGGTGAGAGACTGAGACTTGAGACTAATGATCTCGTTCTACGTCCCGAGTCCTGGATCGATCGAGAATCTGTCCCGAGTCTGAGGTCTCTCATTTTCTCCCACTTGGTTTAGAGTTGATGCAGCAGGGTCCCGAGGGTCCAGGACACTTATGGACATTCTCTTCTCAATATTTGCAATTAGAATCTTGAGCTCAACACAAATCCCAGTGACCACACACACACACACACACTCTCCAGGGTTAAGCTTTACTTCAAATCAATCAACTTTTATTTGTAGAGCGCCTTTCCAACACAAGGCAACACAGGACGCCTCACAGCCCACATCACATCGTGCATAAATCCTCAATCATTAAAAATACAATTAAAATCCCAAAGCGCATTAAAAACACACAATGAGATCACACGGAAATTTAAAAACCTAAAGAATAAAATCACACAAGTAATTAAAAACATTAAAATCATAATAGCCAGAGTGCACCTACAAATAAAATCATTCAGTTGTATGCACAGCTAAACAGAACCGTTTTTAACCTAGACTTCAAAATTGCCATTTCATCCGTCCTCTGCATTTGACCCATCCTGCGCTGGAGCTGCAGATGTTGACGCTCGGCTCGGTTCAGGTCCAGGGCCAGGGCCAGATCCAGGTCCAGGGCCAGGGCCAGGGCCAGGGCCAGGACCAGGTCCAGGGCCAGGGCCAGGGCCAGGACCAGGTCCAGGGCCAGGTCCAGGACCGGAGCTGAAGGATTTGACATTTTATTCATGTTTTTAACCTTTCACTGAATCGTGATCGAGACTTGTTTCAGACTCATCTCTGTCCCCACAACACAGGCTCCTCTGCAGCTGCACCAGCAACTATCCATGAACCATGAGTGCACCAGCAACACAAAGCAGCACCAGCACCAGCACCACCAGCACCTGACCCTACTACAACAACACTCATCACAGTGGCTCAGGATCTAGGCTCCTGTGGACTCAGCTCCTGCAGGAGGATCAGTGAGGGGCTGGTGCTCTGACTGCCACCCCCGACCCAGAAAGGGATTAAGGGGAAGAAAATGGATGGATGGATGGACCCTCTTATCAAAGTCAGACCAAAGCAGTACCAGTCTCTGACCACATCATGTTATATCACGTAAACAGTTCTGAGTTCAGGCCTAAAAACATTTGCCGCTGAAGCTGAACTGTATCTTTCTGAAGTGAAAAGTGTAAAAACAGACTTCGCGGCTGCAAAGGCAGAGCTCTGGGTCGTTTGGATGAAGTCTGCTGCAGTTTACGACGTCCAAACTCCAACAAGTGAGACCCAGACTGAGTGACTCCAACTACTGCAGAACTGCACAATGAACACATTCAACAGATTTACTGTAACTGCTCTTTGATTTGTGATGTCACATGCCGCAGAAACCAGTCACGAACACACAGCCTTTAAAGAGTCAAGGATCGTTCTTTTAGTGTGATTTGATTTACTTTGGCATAAAAAACTAACCCTGAGCACCGCCACCTAGTGGTAGAAGTGGAGAAGTACTTTGTTTTATTGTAAACATGAAGCATCTGCAGTGGAACAAATGTTTGATTCTGAGAGAAAGAAAGAGCTCTGTCTTGGGCGTGACACAGTGAAGATGTGTCAGAGTGAATCAGTCGCCCAAAGAAGGAACTAGGCCTTGGTCAAAAAACTATTTTGGTCCAAAGCTTTAATTTCCTCATGCAAGAGTTCCTTCATCAGCTTAGCACAGGGACTCTCCTGAAGGGACTCTGAGGAGCACAGGGACTGGCCTCCTGCTGGGACTCTGAGGAGCACAGGGACTGGCCTCCTGCTGGGACTCTGGGGAGCACAGGGACTGGCCTCCTGCTGGGATTGCTCTTAGTCACAGCCTGTGGAAATCTCCCTTCGAGTGGGATCTATTCCTCTCGAGGATGCAAATCTAAGGTGTAGCGCAGTCGAGGCACGTCCTGTTGTAAGGACTTCGAGGCATCAGCGAGGGGCACCAGCATGGGATCTCTCTGCTAGGGCGGCACGACGGGACAGCGACCGAGCCGAGAGCACGCAGTAACCGGATACCCCCCAGGACCTTTGCGCCATCTCTCTAGAGACGGTCCAACCGACAGTAGGATCTCTACACCATATCACTTGTCTGAGTTCACGGCGTCTCTCCATCAGGGCCACATCTTGTAGAGAGGTCTCTTGAGCGTCTTATTCAGAATGGCGAGTGGTTCTATCATCAACTGTTGCGTGAGCTCATTACATGGTGACTCGTAGCCGGGAGTGTATCTTCGACTGGTCCTCGCCACTGAGAGGTGCGGGAACCCTATCTCCGCGAGAAATTGCCTCCATCGAACCTGGAGTGTGTTAGTTACCTCGAGCACAATGCACAATAAGCATGCGAGCGAAAGAAGCGCTACCGTGGCAGTTCTGCCCAACGCGGAAACAACACCTGTGAGGTCCAAGCAGCCTCTCGCTGAGGTTATATGCTAGCTAAAATCTTGAACGTCCCTGTCCCGCTGACAACAAAGTGGGTGACACACTGGACACTGTCTTCTATGCTTCTCTGCGAGGGCGACACAATCTTATCCCCGAGGTGTAGCCAGCGTGCATCGTTATGTTAACTCGCTGCAAACTACATTGATAATCTTTGTCAAGTCGAGCCTGTGTGTGACACTTTACATTTAAGGATGTCTAGGATTCGCACTCTACAAGTGTGGGGCACGAGCTGGGGTCTGCCTGTTCAATACTGCGGAGAGCTACCTATGCCTTCACGGACGTTCCCAGTGACCAGCGAGGCGCGCGGCGCTAAATATAGCACCTGAATAGTTGTAAGAGTATGGAAAACGCACCGAGCAGTAGTGCGATACAAGGAGCCCAGGTCTTGTGTCTCATCGTACATGAGCTATGGCGAGGCGCTGGAAAGAATAGCGTAAAAAACTGCATACACATCGATACGCGAGCAGCCCCAACAGCAATCTGCGTTTATGAGCGCCGCGTGCCGCACCCTGACATAGGAGAACAATCAAGTTTAAAATCCTTCTATGCGAATTTGTGGATCGCTTTCTACTGGGCGGGGATGAGCACAGCGAGTTCCTCATACACTACGCAACCGTCTTTCGTAGAGCTGTAGCCCATTTCTCAAGCGAGAGCATGTAAAATTATCAAACCACGAAGCGGTAACACTTAAAAGCGCTGTCACTGAGATTGAATCAATTCCTCACATACTTTCTATTCCGGGTCATGATCCTGCAGAGTAGCTTAACAACGTGCTAAATGCTCTGTAAGCCTGACCATACCTATCTGAGCGTGTGACGCTTACAGTGAGGAGCGAGAGCTCGAGTAAGGCTGACGTCGACTATAAAGAACTTCAAACTCGACACACACACTGCAGCACAAAACATGAGGTTGAGTGGAGCTACAAGCAGTATCTCGGCACACATGCCTTTACACAAGTAAATTCGCTGGGCTACTTATTAACTACTGACAGCGTAGAAACTTCTCGTTATGTCACACAGATAGGTCACCCATTCTTATAACATAAGCATACATAGTGTGACCAAAGTCCTTCACATGACAAATAGCGAACAGCGAAACAAGTCTAGAACTTATCAATGCAACTGATGCGCGACTCACACATACAACTAGAGTATGTATCAAAACAAAGTATTGTTGGTATGATACACAAAGACGTTATCGAATCATAGAGAGCATAAATATTATCACGTTCCTTCTAATACTTGATATATTATGAACTCATCTATGTCAGATCTGAAATTAAGTTACAGTATGAAATTGGTGAGAGATGTGGAGCGATAGCAAACACAGGGGGAGACAGGTGCTCACCATCTAGCGTCTTCATCAACCATGAGCGAAGAGCGACACACCAGCGCGTGATGCCAGAAAGACGTCGCTGAACACAACTGGACTAGATAGCAGATAGCTCGCCACATCCATAAGATCTTCACCGGAAACGTTCGCGCACCTAGAACAACATCACGTGCAGTGAGCTCTTAGAGATAGAGAGACAAGAGTTATCTCTTCGGAGATGGCACGAAGATACCAGATTCGAGTATCTGCCCACCTATGCTTGATAGAACAATACAAAAACCATAATCTACAGTCGAGTGAGAAGATATCACCTCTCCTAGATCAAGACAACGAGGTTAGCATCTAAAAGAGGAGCTACGATGTGCCACACAGTATGTGTTACAACAGTGCTAGAGATCAATTTGCTCACACAAAGATCTACCGTACTCAACTATCTGTGAGAACACTCTAATAGTAGACTAACACACGCAAAAGATAGGGATATAGATAAGATCCACAGAATGCAGTCTTAGGCAAAAAGATGATAATTCAGATCTACACACGACACCACAATTCACAGTCTATAGAGCGAACTATATCGCGGTACTCCAGCGTATGTGTGTATATACAAGTCATCATGAGAACCAAATGTAGGACAAAAAAAAAAAAAAAGCTAGAGAATATTTGAAGAGCAGGCAAGATCCCTGTTACACGACACGCGATCAGGAACAGAGATCCGCGCGAAACACAGCAGTGCCACTAGCAACCCATATTGACTGTGCACACCCACGCATATTTGACATCTCAACACATGATAGTATGCGTACACATAAACTTCGCACACAGAGATATACACACACACCTACACAAACTGACTCACACACACACAAGCACACACACACAGATACACACATAAACAAACACGGGCCCACACAAAAATAAGCACAGAAACACGCACACACACACTGACACACGCGCACACAGGCACACACATATAAACACACAGGCACACACACACACACACAAAGTGACGCACACACATACACACAGACACACACACTCTGGTCTCTGTACAGTGAGGTCAGTCCTGTCTCTGTCCTCGTCTGCTGCTCACTGAGACACACTGTCACATCCAATGAAACATGTGTGTGTCTGTGTGTCTGTGTGTGTGTGTGTGTGTGTGTCTGTGTGTGTGTCTGTGTGTGTGTGTGTGTGTGTGTCTGTGTGTGTGTCTGTGTTTGTCACACACACACACAGACACATGGATCTGGAAATATCCTCGGAATCAAAAAACTAAAACAAGAGGAAAGACGTTGCAACCTTGGAAGAGCACAACTCTAACTTTATATAACAAATAGAATTCATAAATACAATATTTCTGCCTCATTCTGTGCATTTATTAAAGTCTCTCCCAACTCAGAGCTTCTCTAAGTATTATGAACAAAACATATTTCTATTTATCTGGAATTAAAAACAAGTATCATTCTATTACTACATTTAGAAGCTCTGTGTTTTTGATAAAAGTCTCATTAGTTTAAACATGTACAAAAACACAAAGTTACTGAAATAAATCATTTCATATTCTCAAAAGAGGTGTTTTTGTTTTTCTTATTTAACCAAATCAAATATGGTTCAAAGTTCCTAAAAGAATCTGGAGAGTTGGTTTTGTTTCAGATAAACTGCTGAAAGTGTTTTGCAGCAGATCATATCAACTCTGATGTTCTCACTGATGGAAAGCCCTGACTCTGAGAGAAGTATTCATCAACTATATTGTTATTAGAATATATTCATCAACCATATTGTTATTAGAATATATTCATCAACCATATTGTTATTAGAATATATTCATCAACCATATTGTTATTAGAATATATTCATCAACCATATTGTTATTAGAATATATTCATCAACCATATTGTTATTAGAATATATTCATCAACCATATTGTTATTAGAATATATTCATCAACCATATTGTTATTAGAATATATTCATCAACCATATTGTTATTAGAATATATTCATCAACCATATTGTTATTAGAATATATTCATCAACCATATTGTTATTAGAATATATTCATCAACCATATTGTTAAGAAGGACATTTATTAGAATATTCTCAGAGAATTAAAAACTAATATAAATATCAGTTGTCACAGGTGTGTAACTGATTATCTGGGGTCTTGGGGAATAAATGGAAACTCATAATTAATACTGTAAAATACTTGTTTAGACTTTAACACTTCACTGAACAGAAGTTTGTCACACCTCACAGACTCACAAACCAGATTCTTTACAATCAAAATTCTAAATAATGTTATCCACATAAAGATGGTCAAGATTTGGGGTCTGCAGGAATCAGACTCATGCGGCTTCTGCCAAACAGATGTTGAATCATCTGAGACTGATTCTGGTTCTGTCCTGTGGGGGCAGCATTTTGGGTTAATATGTATAAAATAATACAAATATAGACATTTAAACTGAATATTAAGTCATGTCTTTTGTCAATATCATTAGGGTTCTTTGGAGACTTATAACATAAAGAAACTGTTTCACTTTTGATATTTAAGTCAAGTGAGAAAGAATGTTTCTCACTTGACTTCTGTTGAAGTCAAGTGAGACATTCTGTTTAGCAGAATGTTCAGTTGAAACAGAGCAAAAAAAGCTCCAAAAAAGGTGAAGATTCTTGATGCCTTCTTTTTTGGAAAAAAGTCTGATTATTATTCTTCTTATTTGTTTTCTGTCCTTGCTTTAGGATTTTGTTATGCTTTTATGGATTAATTGATTTACATTGTACTAAAGCCCCGCCCACCTTAGCCCCGCCCCTCACCTGAGCAGATGACGTCCTCACTGGGTCCAGAGGGACAGGTCTTGGGTCTGGAGCGGGGACAGTCCACCAGAGCAGACTCATGGCCTTCACAGTGGAACGTCTGCCCCAGAGAAGAGAGCTCCCCCTGGAGGACAGAAGGACCCCTGCAGCCCAGCTCCCTGCACAGCACCTCTGCTCCCCGCAGGTCCAAGGCCCCTTCACAGACCGAGATCCAGGACTGGTCCCATATCTGCAGTGATCCAGAGCAGAGACCAGAGCCTCCAACCAGCCGCACAGAGTCTGAGACAGAGAGGTCTTCATCACACTCTGGACACAGAGTCTGAGACAGAGAGGACTTCATCACACTCTGGGCACAGAGTCTGAGACAGAGGTCTTCATCACACTCTGGACACAGAGTCTGAGACAGATCTCATAAAGACTCAGAGAAAGTATCAGTTTCAGCTGCTGCCTCCTCAGAAGAGTCTCGTGATGTTGTTGTGACGTGTTGCTGACTCACAGAACACACTTATGGTGCTGCTCAGAGCTGCAGACTTATTGTGTGGAGGTGTTTAACTCCTGGACAGTAGAAAGGGTTCTATGAGGGCAGTACAGAAACAGTACGGCACAACTGCAAATCTACCAAGACTCTGCTGATCGAGGACAACACTGATCACAGATGCACACACGAGGCCCATGGTTACTGTGGAGGAGCTGCAGACATCCACAGCTCACTTGGAGGAATCTGTACATGGGACAAATATTAGTCCTACACTTCACAGATGTGGTCTTTACAGACAAAGTGTTTACATAAAAACATCGTCGACGATACCTGCGCATATGTTTTACTAAGGATCAATTTACGTAGCAACTTACTTTTTTTCCTCTGTGAAGTTCATATTCAGGGCTTGATTTGTCTGTGCGATGCACGGAGGATAAACTGCGTTTGTCTGAAAGTCCCTGTCCAATCGGATGTTAGCGGTGACCCGTGAGGTACAAACAGCTGTGAGATACAAACACACGGGGACTGCCAAAGATCGTCAGAGAGGGAGATGTCTCACTCCTCTGTGTGCACTTGTTGTCCCACAGTTGAAACTACAGCTGCGATTGCAATGGGCTGTATGCACGGGGAGGCGTGATGTCACTTCCTGTTAACGCAAATCAGCCCGTTCACTTCCTGTCTGTGCTCTCCTGTGGCTTTTAGGTGAGTTTTAGTGACGTTTTTTAATAATTAGATTGATACTTTCAGCTGAGACTGACCCAAAAGTGTCACTGAACTTTCTCTCTGAGGTAGAGCTTTGACCGTTTGTAAACTTTATAAACACACAATGACAGCACAATCAAAGATCACTGCTGTGTCCCACAATGCACTGCATCCTCACAGTTTAATTCCCGTTTGAGCATTATTTGGGAAACTCGTGTAAACCACTGAACTCCAGTGAAACTCAAGCTGTTTCGCGAACAGGAAGTGAAGTGGAGCTTTAGCTAAAACGCAGAAGTGGTGCATAGAGCCCATTACCGGCTGAAGAGTGCACATTATTGATAAAGACGATCATAAATAAAATGACATTATGTGAATATGATGTATATAAATATATGTATTATATAAATATATATATATATTTTTGTCTTAGTTTATTATGTTTTACGTTTTTTACAGCTGTGCTACAGAAGCAACCCCAGCATCACAGACAAACTGCTTCAGGAAGGGCATCAGGAGTACAGAGTTTTTATAGTGGACTTTTGTAAAAAGTATAATAGTGATAGTAGAGTTGTTGGATTTTCATTAAAGTGAATGAATATATTCAAAGTTTAGACAGCTTTGGGTTAACCTACGTGTGTGGTGGGATGCAGCATTCTCCCATCCCCCAGTCATGAGTGAAAGACTAGTCTAAATAAGCAGGAAGCTGAAAACATCTGTTTTCAGTAGATCTCATGTTCATTTAGAGGGAAGCCACGTCTCCTCTGAGGGAGAGGAAGGTGGGACATATTGTTGCATGTGTTTCAAATTATCATGGTATAAGACCAGAGCTCTTTGTCCATTCTTTGTCACTCTGCTGCTACATCTAGCTGACCCAGACTGATGCAGTCTGTGACATGTCTGTGTGTGCTGATGTCCAGAACACTGAGTAGTTTTTTTCAGAAATAGTCACAGATTCAGTTTTCCATTATCTCCATGACCCAAATAACATTTCTGTGCAGTGTAAAAAGTTATTTCTGTTTTTTCAATACATTTTTGTTAACTTGATTTTCCATTTGATTCTTTTCTTTGTCTTCATGACTCCATAAGTTTTATATAATTCATATGACAGCTTTACAATATGAATATTCTAAAACCCCAGGTTGGACTGAAAAAAAACAAAGTCTACTGTTGACTCTGCCTCAAAACACTGTTTTATGAACAATTATACACAACGAAAACCAGGCGAGGAAGGATCCCCAAAATGACCCATGTGTTTAGAGGATTAAGACTAAGTCCTGGGTCTACAGCCTCAGTCCTGGGTCTACAGCCTCAGTCCTGGATCTACAGCCTCAGTCCAGCCTCAGTCCTGGGTCTACAGCCTCAGTCCTGGATCTACAACCTCAGTCCAGCCTCAGTCCTGGGTCTACAGCCTCAGGCCTGGGTCTACAACCTCAGTCCTGGGTCTCCAGCCTCAGTCCTGGGTCTACAGCCTCAGTCCAGCCTCAGTCCTGGATCTACAGCCTCAGTCCTGGATCTACAGCCTCAGTCCTGGGTCTACAGCCTCAGTCCTGGGCCTACAGCCTCAGTCCTGGGTCTACAGCCTCAGTCCTGGGTCTACAGCCTCAGTCCTGGGTCTACAGCCTCAGTCCAGCCTCAGTCCTGGATCTACAGCCTCAGTCCTGGGTCTACAGCCTCAGTCCTGGGTCTACAGCCTCAGTCCTGGGCCTACAGCCTCAGTCCTGGGTCTACAGCCTCAGTCCTGGATCTTCAGCCTCAGTCCTGGGTCTACAGCCTCAGTCCTGGGTCTACAGCCTTAGTCCTGGGTCTACAGCCTCAGTCCAGCCTCAGTCCTGGATCTACAGCCTCAGTCCTGGGTCTACAGCCTCAGTCCAGCCTCAGTCCTGGATCTACAGCCTCAGTCCTGGATCTACAGCCTCAGTCCTGGCTCTACAGCCTCAGTCCTGGGTCTACAGCCTCAGTCCTGGATCTACAGCCTCAGTCCTGGATCTACAGCCTCAGTCCTGGGTCTACAGCCTCAGTCCTGGATCTACAGCCTCAGTCTTGGGTCTACAGCCTCAGTCCTGGGTCTACAGCCTCAGTCCTGGATCTACAGCCTCAGTCCAGCCTCAGTCCTGGGTCTACAGCCTCAGTCCAGCCTCAGTCCTGGATCTACAGCCTCAGTCCAGCCTCAGTCCTGGCTCTACAGCCTCAGTCCTTGGTCTACAGCCTCAGTCTTGGGTCTACAGCCTCAGTCCTGGGTCTACAGCCTCAGTCTTTGGTCTACAGCCTCAGTTCTGGGTCTACAGCCTCAGTCCTGGATTTACAGCCTCAGTCCTGGGTCTACAGCCTCAGTCCTGGATCTACAGCCTCAGGCCTGGGTCTACAGCCTCAGTCCTGGGTCTACAGCCTTAGTCCTGGATCTACAGCCTCAGTCCTGGATCTACAGCCTCAGTCCAGCCTCAGTCCTGGCTCTACAGCCTCAGTCCTTGGTCTACAGCCTCAGTCTTGGGTCTACAGCCTCAGTCCTGGGTCTACAGCCTCAGTCCTGGATCTACAACCTCAGTCCATTCTCAGTCCTGGGTCTACAACCTCAGTCCTGGATCTACAGCCTCAGTCCTGGATCTACAACCTCAGTCCAGCCTCAGTCCTGGGTCTACAGCCTCAGGCCTGGGTCTACAGCCTCAGTCCTGGGTCTCCAGCCTCAGTCCTGGGTCTACAGCCTCAGTCCAGCCTCAGTCCTGGATCTACAGCCTCAGTCCTGGATCTACAGCCTCAGTCCTGGGTCTACAGCCTCAGTCCTGGGTCTACAGCCTCAGTCCAGCCTCAGTCCTGGATCTACAGCCTCAGTCCTGGATCTACAGCCTCAGTCCTGGGTCTACAGCCTCAGTCCTGGGCCTACAGCCTCATTCCTGGGTCTACAGCCTCAGTCCTGGGTCTACAGCCTCAGTCCTGGGTCTACAGCCTTAGTCCTGGGTCTACAGCCTCAGTCCAGCCTCAGTCCTGGATCTACAGCCTCAGTCCTGGGTCTACAGCCTCAGTCCAGCCTCAGTCCTGGATCTACAGCCTCAGTCCTGGGTCTACAGCCTCAGTCCTGGCTCTACAGCCTCAGTCCTGGGTCTACAGCCTCAGTCCTGGATCTACAGCCTCAGTCCTGGATCTACAGCCTCAGTCCTGGGTCTACAGCCTCAGTCCTGGATCTACAGCCTCAGTCCTGGGTCTACAGCCTCAGTCCTGGGTCTACAGCCTCAGTCCTGGATCTACAGCCTCAGTCCAGCCTCAGTCCTGGGTCTACAGCCTCAGTCCAGCCTCAGTCCTGGATCTACAGCCTCAGTCCAACCTCAGTCCTGGCTCTACAGCCATAGTCCTTGGTCTACAGCCTCAGTCTTGGGTCTACAGCCTCAGTCCTGGGTCTACAGCCTCAGTCTTTGGTCTACAGCCTCAGTTCTGGGTCTACAGCCTCAGTCCTGGATTTACAGCCTCAGTCCTGGGTCTACAGCCTCAGTCCTGGATTTACAGCCTCAGTCCTGGGTCTACAGCCTCAGTCCTGGATCTACAGCCTCAGGCCTGGGTCTACAGCCTCAGTCCTGGGTCTACAGCCTTAGTCCTGGATCTACAGCCTCAGTCCAGCCTCAGTCCTGGCTCTACAGCCTCAGTCCTTGGTCTACAGCCTCAGTCTTGGGTCTACAGCCTCAGTCCTGGGTCTACAGCCTCAGTCCTGGATCTACAACCTCAGTCCATTCTCAGTCCTGGGTCTACAACCTCAGTCCTGGATCTACAGCCTCAGTCCTGGATCTACAACCTCAGTCCAGCCTCAGTCCTGGGTCTACAGCCTCAGGCCTGGGTCTACAACCTCAGTCCTGGGTCTCCAGCCTCAGTCCTGGGTCTACAGCCTCAGTCCAGCCTCAGTCCTGGATCTACAGCCTCAGTCCTGGGTCTACAGCCTCAGTCCTGGGTCTACAGCCTCAGTCCAGCCTCAGTCCTGGATCTACAGCCTCAGTCCTGGATCTACAGCCTCAGTCCTGGGTCTACAGCCTCAGTCCTGGGCCTACAGCCTCAGTCCTGGGTCTACAGCCTCAGTCCTGGGTCTACAGCCTCAGTCCTGGGTCTACAGCCTTAGTCCTGGGTCTACAGCCTCAGTCCAGCCTCAGTCCTGGATCTACAGCCTCAGTCCTGGGTCTACAGCCTCAGTCCAGCCTCAGTCCTGGATCTACAGCCTCAGTCCTGGGTCTACAGCCTCAGTCCTGGCTCTACAGCCTCAGTCCTGGGTCTACAGCCTCAGTCCTGGATCTACAGCCTCAGTCCTGGGTCTACAGCCTCAGTCCTGGGTCTACAGCCTCAGTCCTGGATCTACAGCCTCAGTCCTGGGTCTACAGCCTCAGTCCTGGGTCTACAGCCTCAGTCCAGCCTCAGTCCTGGATCTACAGCCTCAGTCCAGCCTCAGTCCTGGCTCTACAGCCTCAGTCCTTGGTCTACAGCCTCAGTCTTGGGTCTACAGCCTCAGTCCTGGGTCTACAGCCTCAGTCTTTGGTCTACAGCCTCAGTTCTGGGTCTACAGCCTCAGTCCTGGATTTACAGCCTCAGTCCTGGGTCTACAGCCTCAGTCCTGGATCTACAGCCTCAGGCCTGGGTCTACAGCCTCAGTCCTGGGTCTAAAGCCTTAGGCCTCAGTCAGTCCTGGACTGTGATCCAGCCTCAGTACAGCCCCTGTGATCCAGCCTCAGTCCTGGCCCCTGACTGTGATCCAGCCTCAGCCCCTGGCCCCTGACTGTGATCCAGCCTCAGTCCTGGCCCCTGACTGTGATCCAGCCTCAGTCCTGGCCCCTGACTGTGATCCAGCCTCAGTCCTGGCCCCTGACTGTGATCCAGCCTCAGTCCTGGCCCCTGACTGTGATCCAGCCTCAGTCCTGGCCCCTGACTGTGATCCAGCCTCAGTCCTGGCCCCTGACTGTGATCCAGCCTCAGTCCTGGCCCCTGACTGTGATCCAGCCTCAGTCCTGGCCCCTGACTGTGATCCAGCCTCAGTCCTGGCCCCCTGACTGTGATCCAGCCTCAGTCCTGGCCCCTGACTGTGATCCAGCCTCAGTCCTGGCCCCTGACTGTGATCCAGCCTCAGTCCTGGCCCCTGACTGTGATCCAGCCTCAGTCCTGGCCCCTGACTCTGTGATCCAGCCTCAGTCCTGGCCCCTGAGGGTGATCCAGCCTCAGTCCTGGCCCCTGACTGTGATCCAGCCTCAGTCCTGGCCCCTGACTGTGATCCAGCCTCAGTCCTGGGCGGTCCGGTGCGTCAGACCTTCTCCCTGTGACCACTTCTTGTTCAGACTCTGGATAATTGGATCCAGAAGTTCCCGGTTCCCCACGGAGACGCTCACTTCCTGTTTCGGGGGCCAGATGCTGGAATGTGCGGAATGTCGTCTGTTTTGTGACCGAGACTTGGTTCCTTTTGGGCTCTCTCTGCGTAACGACTGAGGCAGAATGGACGTCTCGCTCTGACAGGGTTGTACCTATAATATCATTTATGCTCCGAGGTTTGACTCCTCTAAGCCGTCACTCGGAGACACTTTCTCTGGCTCGGAGCTACACGGGCGATTCAGCAAAAAATACCTGCTGATCGCCAACTCTGAGTGTCTAGTAAAGAGGGCGTGTCGTTTTAAAGCTAATTTTCAGCCACACAATGTATTGTACTCCAATGAACCCAAAACATAATATTTATAATGGTTGCGATTAATCCCAAAATAAATCTCAGCCTTTGGTCCAGGTTTGGGTCGATTCAAACACTAGTTTTGACAATCAACCAAAAATAACCAACATTTATATCAATAAAAGTATTTATTTTTTTGGTTCTAACTACCTCCATAACCTCAGATGCAAAATAAGGATATTTAAACAATCCTTAAAACCATAGAATGAGCATATTCCCAGTCCCTTAGCATTGGCATTAGCATTAGCACCAGACTCCACAAATCCACACACATCTGCCTTTTTAGAAATGGCCTTTTATCTTCCCGTCTGGATCAACCACAGACCGTCATGTTCAGCTTCTATTTCAAACGTTCTAAATTCATAAAGATCTCTCCAAAGCAGACATTAAAATCCTGTTTGTTTTTAATTGTCAGCAGCAGAACTCTGGCTCTGGACCTCCTCTTACAATGGACAATAGGAGGAAACGTGTTTGTTTATGTGTTGGACACGACACTGCGGACAGAGCAGCTCACTCAGAGACGGAGAATAAGTCTCAAAATGTCTCTCATTTACTAAAATATATTTCCTTAAGATAAACCTGAAAAGGAACAGAAGAAACCCAGCATCTGAGAGAGCTCGGAGCTTAAGTCCAAACTTTCAAATATTTTTGCCTTAAATGTTAAAAGTAACATCTATGTCCTATTTATATAATTATTGATCAGATCTTGAATCTGTCGCCGCAATAAGTCGCTTAATCCTCCTCATTGTTGAAAATATTGAACTGATTCCAACTCTACACAGCGTACGCAGTAGTGAAAATAGTTTTCACTTCAGATAAGAGTCGTATACCATCGTGAAAAGCTAATGTGCTCGTTTACTTGCATCGCCCTGAGCAACACTTCCTGTCCCACAGCCCCATGCCACGCCCCCTTCAGGTCACATGATTGCAAACCAAGACATTACACTACTGTTTGTCTACGTTATCGTCAGGGATGGACTCTGGGCTGGACTCTGGGCTGGACTCTGGGCCGGACTCTGGGCTGGACTCTGGGCTGGACTCTGGGCTGGACTCTGGGCTGGACTCTGGGCTGGACTCTGGGCCGGACTCTGGGCTGGTCCAGGCGGGTGGAGAATGTGACAGTGGCCTCGCCCGCTGACCACACTCACATTCCAAAGAGCTGGGTCAGATGTTGATATTTGCAGTGTTCATCAGGAGGAACGGCTCTGAGTCACGTGTGAAGTTTGGAGTTTGGTCAATGTTGATATTTAAAGGAATCTAACCATGTGTCACTTTGGTTTGAGTCAGATCTGTGTGAATGGTTTAAAAACACATTCCAGGGTTGAATAGATGTGAATGTGTAATGTCTAAAGTGGGCGGGGCCTTTTATGTTCCTCCCCAGCTGGTGTTTGTGTTGGTTATTCCAGTCCCGTCCTGGTTCTCAAGCCCAGATTTGACTTTTGTCTTCTATAATTTGGAAATGACGATGTCTCACGGTTGTGTAAGATCGTCAGCCAAAAAGTAATCCATCCGCAACTGACAAAACACAGAGGAATGTATCACCAGCATCTCCGCCATCTCCTCGACCTCCGCCATCTCCGCGACCTACGCCATCTCCCCGATCTCCGCCATCAGGCCGGGCTCCGTAATCACAGCAAGATTCACCGCCACATTGTTTTTCATTCATTCATCACTTCGAATGTTGTCCAAAGCTAACAGGTGCAGAGCAGAGAGGCCCCGAACCCGCCTCCTTCATCCTGATTGGCTGGATAAACAACATGGCCCCGCCCCTTTGACATTGTTTTAATTAGTGCGTTTAATTGTGTTTCTTTCCAGGTCAAGTTTGTGATTTATGAACGCTAGAACTCCAGAGCAGTCAATATGACGGCTCTTAGTTTTGGGAGCGTGAATACTCAGCTCGGTGAACATCTGTGATTAACTTTTCTTTTGTAATTATTTTTTGATTTTTTTTTTTTTTTTTTTGAGTAGTTTTACCTCCATAAAGCAGTCATTTCTCCGAAGTGCTGGTCCTGGACTGGTTCTGGTTCTGAGCTTAGCAGGTGCTAGTTACCATAGCAACGGACCGTTACCTGCAGTAGAAGCATTTGGTCCAAACGGGTAGAGCTTTGTGTATTGTATCTTTTCAGAAATAAGGCAGAACATTCATTAGTTTTTATATAAACGAGGTCCTAGGTCTCATCGTAAAGTCAGAATCTGAATTGGTTTCATTGCCGTTGTAAGTAACAGGAATTCACAACTTGTTTGCAGCTTGGGCCAAAGCAAATTCCTAGTTTGTTTAGAGTAAAAGGGAAGGGCATACGCACAAAAAAATCTTCATAAAATGTCTTAAAATGATTGTTATACACAAATAAGTTCACACAATAGAGACTAGAGCAGCACAGTAAAGTGACACGGTGTCCCACAAGGGTCAGTGTTGGGGCCAAAGTTTTTCATTATGTACATTCATGATTTGTGTAATTTGTCAAAATCCTCAAAGCTGGTTTTATTTGCAGATGGCAGGAATTTATTTTTTTCTGATAGTAATTTGAGAATAAAACCAAATCCATCCCATATGAGTAAGAGTAAGTAAGTAAATAAGCGTTTTGCATTGTAGACTTTTGGACGTATTTAACATCCAGAGCTCGGTCATGTCCCGGGCCAGCCCTGAGGGGCCGGTGCACGAGGCAGCAGGTGAGGGGTGAGGTGAGGGGTGAGGTCAGGGGTGAGGGGGAGGTCAGGGGTGAGGTGAGAAGGCCTGAAGCTGGATCATAAGTAACCCTTGCACACTGGAATGGCAAACCACACTTGTTTGTTTGAGACCTCTGCTCCGACCTGTAGGGGGCGCTAATCACTGCTACCGGCTGCTTCACATTACACACAAGTTAGCCAATAAGGAGGGATTGTCTCAGTATACATACATACCTCCCTAGTCTCAGTATACATGCCTCAGTATACATTCCTCAGTATACATGCTTCAGTATACATGCCTCTGTATACATGCCTCAGTATACATGCTTCAGTATACATGCTTCAGTATACATGCCTTTGTATACATGCCTCTGTATACATGCCTCAGTATACATGCCTCTGTATACAGTACATGCCTCTGTATACATGCCTCTGTATACATGCCTCTGTATACATGCCTCTGTATACATGCCTCTGTATACATGCCTCTGTATACATGCCTCTGTATACATGCCTCTGTATACATGCCTCTGTATACATGCCTCTGTATACATGCCTCTGTATACATGCCTCTGTATACATGTCTCTGTATACATGCTTCAGTATACATGCCTTTGTATACATGCCTCTGTATACATGCCTCAGTATACATGCCTCTGTATACAGTACATGCCTCTGTATACATGCCTCTGTATACATGCCTCTGTATACATGCCTCTGTATACATGCCTCTGTATACATGCCTCTGTATACATGCCTCTGTATACATGCCTCTGTATACATGCCTCTGTATACATGCCTCTGTATACATGCCTCTGTATACATGCCTCTGTATACATGCCTCTGTATACATGTCTCTGTATACATGCCTCAGTATACATGCCTCTGTACCTTTCGCAGCCCGGCTCGTCACAGTGAAACTGTTATCACAGGGACAAAGGTGGTGTTTGCCGACTCTGCAGCTTTGTGACAGTACAAACACATGAGCCAATAGAAACCAGGAAGAATGTGGTCTTTCTGTCATTGCTCACATGGTTTTTAGTCTTTGAAAGTCTATGGTGCCATTGTAAAGACCGCCGCTGGTGCTTTGGGCAGAAGATTAATCCACAGTGATGTGTCTAGACTTTATTGCCTCAAAGAGTTTATTTGAATCGAAATAAATGACTTGTAATCCTTTTATAGGTCTTACTTATTCCTTTCTCTCTTAGGCCTGTAAGCTACATATCTATGTATCTACTGTTCTTATTTACATACATTACTAGTAAAAAACCTCATCCATCATTTCATCATTGAACCTATTTAGTTTGTGATTCATCAGCATTTTTCATAAAGTTAGCATTCCTGCAGTGGATTTTGACCTGATCCACTTGGTTGGGACCATGAATCCTCTCTGCTCTGGACCAGTGTAAAACCATGAATCTTCTCTTCTTTCTGGTACATTCCACTTGGACACTTCAAAGTTCTCTGTTTGGCCGAGCGCCGCCGGGTCATCTCTCGATTGTTGGCGCACAGTAGGGGTGTCACAATATATCGATTTTTCGATATATCGTGATACTTTCTCCCGCGATTCGATTATCGATATGCATTTGCCAAGTATCGAAATCGATTTTGAAAAAAAAATAATTGTTAATTTATTTTTTATTTTTTTAACAATTTTCTTTTTTTTAAATTGGTATCAATACTTAATATATGGCTACATTACGCATCTCCATTCCATTTATCATGAAATAAATTGTATTTTTTTCTTTTATTTATGCCATAAATTGGCATATTGTATATTTCTGACCAATATATCAATAATCGTCATATCGTGAGAAAATCGTTATTGTGATATCGTTATCGTGATATCGTTATCGTGATATTATCGTTATTGTGATATTATCGATATCGTGAGCTTTGTATTGTATCGTATCGTGAGGTACCCTTAGGTTCCCACCCCTAGCGCACAGAAAGGTTGATCTTTTCTCTGCGTCACTGTGCACCTACATCCTCTGTACTTCCTGAGCTTCCTCTGCGTCCTCTGTGCTTCCTCTGTGCTTCCTCTGTGCTTCCTCTGTACTTCCTCTGTGCGTCCTCTGTGCGTCCTCTCTGCTTCCTCTGTGCGTCCTCTGTGCTCCCTCTGTCCTTCCTCTGTGCGTCCTCTCTGCTTCCTTTGTGCGTCCTCTGTGCTCCCTCTGTCCTTCCTCTGTGCGTCCTCTGTGCTCCCTCTGTCCTTCCTCTGTGCGTCCTCTCTGCTTCCTTTGTGCGTCCTCTGTGCTCCCTCTGTCCTTCCTCTGTGCGTCCTCTGTGCTCCCTCTGTCCTTCCTCTGTGCGTCCTCTCTGCTTCCTTTGTGCGTCCTCTGTGCTCCCTCTGTCCTTCCTCTGTGCGTCCTCTGTGCTCCCTCTGTCCTTCCTCTGTGCGTCCTCTCTGCTTCCTTTGTGCGTCCTCTGTGCTCCCTCTGTCCTTCCTCTGTGCGTCCTCTGTGCTCCCTCTGTCCTTCCTCTGTGCGTCCTCTCTGCTTCCTCTGTGCGTCCTCTGTGCTCCCTCTGTCCTTCCTCTGTGCGTCCTCTCTGCTTCCTTTGTGCGTCCTCTGTGCTCCCTCTCTGCTTCCTCTGTGCGTCCTCTGTGCGTCCTCTGTGCTTCCTCTGTGCTTCCTCTGTGCTCCCTCTGTGCTCCCTCTCTGCTTCCTCTGTGCTTCCTCTCTGCTTCCTCTGTGCTCCCTCTGTGCTTCCTCTGTGCGTCCTCTCTGCTTCCTCTGTGCTCCCTCTCTGCTTCCTCTGTGCTTCCTCTGTGCTCCCTCTGTGCGTCCTCTGTGCGTCCTCTCTGCTCCCTTTGTGCTTCCTCTGTCCTTCCTCTGTGCGTCCTCTCTGCTCCCTTTGTGCTCCCTCTGTCCTTCCTCTGTGCGTCCTCTCTGCTCCCTTTGTGCTCCCTCTGTCCTTCCTCTGTGCGTCCTCTCTGCTTCCTCTGTGCGTCCTCTGTGCGTCCTCTCTGCTTCCTCTGTGCGTCCTCTCTGCTTCCTCTGTCCTCCCTCTCTGCTGCTCTCTCTTTCTCTGTGCTTCCTCTGTCCTTCCTCTGCTCCTTGTCTTGGCTCTGCAGACGCGCCCTGACGAAACGCCGATACAAACAGGAAGCTGCAGGGAGGAAGCCCATCTCCACTCCAGGCGCTAATATTAGAGCATGTTTGCAGCGCTTCCTCTGGTCTGTTTGGACTTTCTGTGGCGTTTATCGTGGCGTGAGGGAGAATGGACGCTCTGTCAGTTAGAATTGGATAAGCACCGTCTCTTTGCACATGACGAGCTCGGCCTGAATACTGCTTTCATACGTCTAATATCCTTGTGTGGGAAAAATGCACATTTACTGCAACCGTCACAGATTCAAGAAACAAAGGCGGATTTCAGCCCGATTTGTCTGGTCTCAGTATCAGAACTGCTCATGGGGTTTTACTCAGAACGAAGAGGACTTTCTGGAATTACATACTTGTGTTTGAGACAAGAGAGACCAGAGAGAGACCAGAGAGAGACCAGAGGGAGACCAGAGAGAGAGGGAGACCAGAGAGAGAGGGAGACCAGAGAGAGAGGGAGAACAGAGAGAGAGGGAGACCAGAGAGGGGGAGACCAGAGAGAGGGGGAGACCAGAGAGAGGGGGAGACCAGAGAGAGAGGGAGACCAGAGAGAGAGGGAGACCAGAGAGAGAGGGAGACCAGAGAGAGAGGGAGACCAGAGAGAGAGGGAGACCAGAGAGAGAGGGAGACCAGAGAGAGAGAGGGAGACCAGAGAGAGAGGGAGACCAGAGAGAGAGGAGACCAGAGAGAGGGAGACCAGAGAGAGGGAGACCAGAGAGAGGGAGACCAGAGAGAGGGAGACCAGAGAGAGGGAGACCAGAGAGAGGGAGACCAGAGAGAGGGAGACCAGAGAGAGGGAGACCAGAGAGAGGGAGACCAGAGAGAGGGAGACCAGAGAGAGGGAGACCAGAGAGAGGGAGACCAGAGAGAGGGAGACCAGAGAGAGGGAGACTTCTGATACAAATCGACACTGCTCTAAAAATTATCTTCTCAAAGAAAAATAAAGACGGCATGGCCTCTCGCTCCCCCTCACACACACGGACACACACACGCACACACACACACGCACACACATTCGGACACACACACGCACACCAGCTGCCCCGCTCTCACACCCCCTCTGGCCCCTCCCCACAGTGACATCACTCGGGCCGTCCCGCTCTGTCATTGGCCACTCGCCCCCAGTGTAGCTCCGCGGCCCCTCCCCCTCTGGCTCAAAGGTGTCCCTGTGTGCCTCTTTCACACACATCACACACACACCTCCCATTCTCTCTCTCTCTCCGTCTCGGCTCTATTCTACCGTTACGAGCCGCGTCTGCCTAGTGCCGACAAAACGCCGTTCTTTGGAATTCCAAAGCCACGAGGGGTTGCTAAGGCAGCGATGCGGACAGATGCACGGATGTATGCCACGGGTTTTTCCTTTTTTTCCGTGGCCCTAGCGTGATGATACAGGGGTTTTTCACACTGCCACTGCTGAGCTAGCACTCTCACTGTCCACACTGATCCAGCAGAGTCTGCAACACCACAACCCAGGTCTGCACAGGACAGAGGCGGACAGCAAGAAGGCTTTTTCGTGGAATTTCTTGGAACTTTCCCTCAGACCTGCTCTGGATGTCGGCTCGGACCCCATGCCTCTCTGGATAGTTTACTGAAGCACAGCGCATGGAGACCGCGACTGGATTATCGTTGTCGCCCGGACCCCTGTCCCCAGTTTCGGATTATGGGGGTGGACTGCCGGGACCGTCCCACCACCAGAGTCCGGTGCGTGGGTCCAGTCCCAGCCGCAGCAGTCCCGGCAGTCCCCGCCGAAGCAGTCCCATTAGGGGGTCCAGTCCTGGGCCCGGCTTCTCGGGACAAGCAGCGTTCAACTACAACCAGCTGGAAGGAAGGTTTAAACAGCTGCAAGGTACGGCCACACGGATCCTCACGTTTATATCACCATCTTGTACTTACAACAGTCAAAAACGACTCCAACAATAAGGCAGAAAACTGTGTTCTCTGCGAGGATAAGTCACAAGTTTGAAAAAAAGAGTGTTTTGACAGAAGGGGCGGGGGGACGGGTTTGTGCTGATATTCTACGGCACCGTGGTTTGCGCTTGTGTATCACAGCAAGAAGGTTTTGGGTTAGATTCTACCTCCAGGCCTTCCACTTTGCATGTTCTCCCTAGGTCTACTTAGGTTTCCTCCAGGTGCTCCGGTTTCCGCTACCACTTGACACATGTACAATAGATCTGTGTAAACGACCTGCTCCATCTCTGTGGAGGGAGAGGATAAATAACATTTGTGAAGCGCTTTGTGGATGGTTCGCACATTCACGCACTGGTGTAGGTCCAGTACACACAGACTGAGAGGATTTGAACCAGCAACCTTCCGGTCAGAGGACTGGAGCGTCTGCCGTGTTTATTAGAGAGACAGGAAGCGGTGGTTCCAGCCGCCGCCTCTGGCTCTTGGCACAAAAGCAACATTTGGAGATGACTTAAGTCGTAGCACAAGACCTGGTTTGCTGCAGGCTCTTTGACCTGAATGCATTCCTCAAAGTTACAATTAGTAACTTATCAAACTCAAGGTCTCGGAGGCGCTACAAATGTGAACATTCAGAAAACACTGAATTCTTAGAGTTTTTTAAATTAGTGCCAAAAAGTGCTGGTCTGAGGAAACCGTGGCATCTGTGTCTTTTGAACTCGCCCATTATTATTATTCTTGTCTCTCGTTCCAGCGTTAGTTCCAAACGTTTGAAAATGTGGTTTAATTAATCATAACTCATTGATTACTGAAAAAATTACTTATCAACTTCTTTATGAAACAGATAAAAACGGTTTAATGACTCAGAAACGGCTTTAAAGACTTGACAGAGGATACTTAAACTACTATATATCTCAGAGCAGTCAATTTGACGGCTCCATTCAAATCAATAGAATTCTGAAAAAAATCAACAAAAAATGTTTTTGTGTAATTTTCCTAAAAATGAAGACATTGAAATCCAGAAAAAAGTTTTAACAAAAACTCAGTTGTATTCAGCAGTTTGTTAAAAGGCTAATGCTAACTCCTACAAGCTAACAGTGCGTTGCTATGGTGACCAGCATCAGCTCTTCTCTGTTTTAAAAGCAAGCGGACTCTGGTCAGAACCTGAAACAGTCCAAAACCAGTCCAGGACCCGTACCTTTAACTGCCACATAAAGTTGGACTGAAAATTTCTACATTTAAATTTTACTGAATTTTACAGAATGGATCAGTTAAAAATGAGCTAAATTGACTGCTCTTGGAGTTCTAAATGTCACAGACTCTCAGCCGGTCGTGTCCGTAGACGCACTTTACTGCAGGTCATTCTTGGGCGTGTTCTGCCCCAAGGCGCTCGGCCCATCGGACTCCACTCCCCCCCAGAATGTGTCACTTGGCTGGGACCTGTCCAGAGGTGCATGATGGGTAGTTCTGCCCGGTGCGAGCTGCAGGAATGTCCATTTGCACGTAGTCTCGGCCGAATCCTTCACGACGATGACATTCTGACGCCGAGGCTCGATTAGAACTGAGGCTAGAATGATGTCACACTCAGGAAGTCGCTTATCGCCTCAGGAGGAAAGTTGGTTGCTATGGTTACAAAGTGCAAAGTCTTTGAAGGTTCGATGTTGAGTCAGAGGTCATTCTTGTGTCCAGTGTCAGTGCCCCGTTTCCACCATCCCGGCTTGGTTCAGCTCGGCTCTGATATACCTGCTTGTGTTTGTATTACACTTGACTTTATCCTAACAACCCACCCACACCAAACCTGTATATGTGGAAATTCCTTGGTAACCATGGCTTCCAACAGCCAATCACTGTCAGAACACTATTTGGACCTGCTCGGCCTGGATAGAACCAGGACTAAGAGGGACTAAAAAAAGTTGTAAAAGTTTTGTAAGCTTCCAAATAAGAATCTATATAAGGTGATACTTGTATACTAATATATATATACTGGTGATATATACTCTAGGTGATACTTGTATACTGATATATATATACTGGTGATATATACTCTAGGTGATACTTGTATACTGATATATATATACTGGTGATATATACTCTAGGTGATACTTGTATACTGATATATATATACTGGTGATATATACTCTAGGTGATACTCACGTCACTCTTTCCCATCATGCCTCGGTCTGTCCCTGTGGACCTGAAGCACTGTTATAACCCAGCTCGATACAGCTCAAGGCTAATGCAGCCTCCATCGACCTGCCTCCTCCAAGGCCGAGGCAAAGCAGCTCCCATCAGCCCCCATCAGCCCCCATCAGAGAAAGAATGTGGTATTTTTACACTTCTGGAGAGAGGGACTAGAGAGACAGAGAGAGACGGGGACTAGAGACGGGGACTAGAGAGACGGGGACTAGCGAGACGGAGACTAGCGAGACGGAGACTAGAGAGACGGGGACTAGAGACGGGGACTAGAGAGACGGGGACTAGCGAGACGGAGACTAGCGAGACGGAGACTAGAGAGACGGAGACTAGAGACGGGGACTAGAGAGACGGGGACTAGCGAGACGGAGACTAGCGAGACGGAGACTAGCGAGACGGAGACTAGAGAGACGGAGACTAGAGAGACGGAGACTAGAGAGACGGAGACTAGAGAGACGGAGACTAGAGAGACCAGAGCGGCGTAAGCTCTGGGTCAATGATCAGCTGTGGTGCATATGGAGCAGCCGCCGGTTCCTTTCGCCGTCATCAATGGCCGTCTGTGAGCGGAGCGTGTTCGCCGGCTGCTGTTTCAGAGACTGAACAAGAGAAAAATTTGTGTTGGGTTCACGGCCCTCTCTGTCCTCGTGTCCTGCGAAGACGGCAGGAAGCGATCACATGATGCAATTGATTTAGAACGGTGGCTGCTGGGAGGCTGCTGTACGCTGCCATGGTTTGGGAACAGACATGCTGACGTTATTATTAAAGGAGAAGGATTGTGCATTGTTTTGGCCGTAAGCGATGGTAATGAGAGTGACTTTGTCAGGTTATGATTTAGAAAGTGAAGTAACGCCATCAGAAAGTCACTGGTGACGCAAGTATGGAGGGTAAAATATGCTCTTGGCCTGAAACTAACTACCAACAGAGGGAGGGAGACGAGAAACAAATATAAACTAATATATTTCAAAGAAAGTACTTTCACTTGAATAATTACCCAATATTTGTCAATACTTTTGTTGTAAAGTCAGATAACAGAGTGATGTCATAGTGGTACAATGACATCATACTATAACAGGACTGTGGCGCTTTTGAACAGAAGGAATTCCAAAGTCCCCACCGTTCGCTTGGATGGGTCTAATATAAACTAGCTTTACAGTTTAAAGAATTAGGGTCTCATTCATTTCCTCTTTATGTCTTGCGTGCGGCTGGTTGCCATGTGGTTGCCATGCAGGTGTCTGTATCAGTCTTGCGCGTGCGGCTGGTTGCCATGCGGTTGCTATGCGGTTGCCATGCAGGTGTCTGTATCAGTCTAGCGTGTGGCTGGTTTCCATGCGAGTGTCTTTATCAGCGTGTTGGTGGCGTGTTGGCGTGCTGCAGTCACAGTCTCTATCTCTGCTGTTATCTTTGCAGCGCCATAAAGCGTTTCAGCCGTGCGGTGTGGGCGGCTCATCTGGACACAAGTGCATGATGGGACACACACAAACCTCCTACACATTTACACTCTTTATGCATAAAGTCCTGCTGTTTATCTGCACGCCCATATATGGTCTGATGCAGAGGACCATGGTTAACATTCTGAAATCCTGACATTTCAAATTTCAGTGTTGCACCACCATTCTATTCGTTCTATGGCTTGATTTTCTAGTCATTGGCCCTGGGTTTGAATCCCGGTCGGAACAGGGCCTTTCTGAGTGGAGTCCGGAAGCTTCCAGTGCTGTGGAAATGAGCAGTGAAGCAGCGAGTTTCATTTAAAATCCTTTAACGTATTCTCTTAAGAGCATCAACATGTGTTCAAATCAAGACGAAAACCACTTCATTCTTATAATACACACATATGTTGTTTTTCTGCAGCTGTGTAAAGGAGAATACACAGCTGCAGTGTATAACTTCACTAAATGCACTTAAAGAATTGTTGTGGATCTGTTTTAGGCTGTGATGAAGACCCTGTTACACGCCACTGCTCAATATTCTTTTTATAAGATCAGCTTTCACAGGCGTCGGATTGTTTCGTGGAGCAGAGTGTTCAAGGATACAGAGAAATGGTGGATTATTCACAAGGTGCTTCAGGATCTAAGGACTTTTATTGAAAAGTTTGATCAATAATCGACCACAATCATTTATGGAGAGATAAAAATGGGTAAAGTGCAGATGGGACTGTGGATTATATCGATGATAACTTATCTCAGAGGAGTCACCGCAATAAAACTACATCATTCAGCTCCGGAAGCTTCCAGTAACTTTCAACCCTCTTCAAAGGAGCTCCAATGCTTAAAACTTCCCCAAGTTCAGACTAATGTGTCATGATTGTTTTCTAGGTAAAAGACTGTGTTGTAAAAAATGCAGCTCCAAATCCAATCCACCTTATTTATGCAGCACATTTTCCATTCCATTCATAAATTCCTGAAGTTACTAACAACAACTAGCATGCAGCAAACGCCACTTCCTGCTTCACCGATGATTCCAAACGCTGCTCTTTATGAACTGGAAACACAGATGATCTTATTACACCGAAAACAGGATTCTTTCTCGGAGCCGCACCTGCTCCCCTCAGTCCCCGAAGGCCTATAAATCATTCATCATTGGCTGTTCACCTCCCCTAGCCCCGCCCCCTGGCTCTGGCCCCGCCCCCTCAGACAACAAACCGCTCACAGCACTTTCATTTCAAAACATTAGAATTGGCAGAAAACGTCACAATCAACTCTGAAGAACTGAACTGGCATAATTCATATACATACACACGCATACATACATACA